CGACTGGTGTAGATGCAAATGGCGGTTTATTTCCTCTAGCATTTGCAGTTGTGGAGGTAGAGGATACTTCTAGTTGGAAGTGGTTCTTTGAACTTATATACAAGTGGATTCCTAGTGTCCGTGCACCCAGATTAATTACTTTTATCTCGGATAGGATGAAAGGAATTATAAGGGCATTACATGAGGGTTTTGGTGTACCACATCACCATCGATATTGTTTAAGGCATATAAGAGATAATTTCAAGAAAAAGCACGGTGAGATTAATTTACAAAATCTTTTGTGGCAAGCTGGGTGTGCAACCGATACATTAGTGTATGAACATTGTAGAGAGAAAATCAAGTCTTTGTCATTAGATGCACATAATTGGATTGAACATAATTTGAAGCCTCAATTTGAACATCAATGGGCATTATGTAAGGATGAGGGTGTGCGGTTTTGCATGATGACAACTAATTGCTCCGAGAGCTTTAACGACGTTCTTAAAGGAGCACGAGCTATGCAAATACAATTATTGGTTGCAAGAACGTTCTATAGGTTAAACTCATATTTCAACAAAAGGTGTGAGGATGGCGTAGACTGGACAACACGTTACACACCAAAGAATGAGTCTATTTTGCATAGAAGAATTTAGGCGGCAAGATTATGTCAAATTACTGTATTCAATGACAATGAATGGCAGGTACAGGATTATAACGGTATCTACACCGTTAAACTATTTGATGTTGATTGCACTTGCACATGTAACATACCACAACTCCAAAAAATACCTTGTGCACATGTTCTTGCGGCTTCTTCCAATCAGCCGGGTGGTGCGAGAATTCCATAAAATCGGTATTGTTCACCATGGTATTCAACAATTCATTACCGAAAACATACAGTGAGAGTTTTTATCCACCCGATGATAGTCGGTATTGGCCTAAATATACTGGACCACGACTAATTCCACCTCAATACAAGAGACAAGTAGGTCAACCACGATCTGTGCGAATTAGGGGAACCATGGATCAAGGACGAGAAGGAATTGTCAAGCATAAAAAATATAGTCTTTGTAAACAACCGGGACATACTCGACCTCGTTGTCCAGCTAGACCCAATAGATAGCAATTAATTGGTAATAATTGACATATTCAAATTGTGATTTATTTTAATATAGAAAATGTAATTAGTCGTGGATCGGTTTTTGATATGTTATAATTGTATGTGCAAGTATATACACCATACAGCCTGGACCGGTTAGTGATGAGGTCCTATATGACCAGCCTCGACACCGTTCACATGTTATATCCTTTACAGAGGTAACTAAGTTTCTTATAATTTTAATATTGCATTCTTATATATTCATTTGCTTTACAGAGAGGCCCGGATATTGTTGTGGTTGATCATAGCCTCGGCCATAGCCATTGGCATCTAGAGGATGAGCGCATAATAGCAGCAGTAGGATGGGCCGGCTTCTTGACATGTTCAAAGCTTCGTTGGATGAGACTCGATTGTCCCCTACTCACCGCTTTGATAGATAGGTAGAGGCCGGAATCCAACACTTTCCACTTCCGAATGGGAGAGTCTACTATTATGCTACAGGATGTAGCTACGATACTTGGTCTCCGCATAGATGGTCCTTGCGTTACCGGCAGTGATAGACATTTTTGGCCGGACAAGTGTGAGGAGTTGTTAGGTGTAGCTCCAGAGTACCGGCAGTGATAGACATTTTTGGCCGGACAAGTGTGAGGAGTTGTTAGGTGTAGCTCCAGAGTCAATGTCTGGAGAAAATATTAAATTGAAGTGGCTAAAAGAGACCTTCTCGGTACCGTTGCCTTTTGATACACCACCAATATTGATTGAGCAACATGCACATGCATACATTATGCACATGATCGGTTCAATATTATTTCCAGATTCGAGTAAATATAAAGTGCATGCCAAGTATCATTTTTATTAGTATTTACAATTATGCTTGTTGAATTAGCTTATTTTGATAACTTGAAATGTTGTGAAAATGCTAGGTGGTTACCACTTATCGGGGACTTGGACACGTGTGGTGCGTTATCGTGGGGTAGTGCGATTTTGGCGTACCTACATAGAGAGATGTCCAAGGTTACATTCATGAAAAATAGTGACTTTAAAGGGTGTCTCAGCTTACTGCAAGTATGGGCACGGGAGAGACTGCATTTGAAGCCGAGACTATGCGTGAATTTACAATTAGACGGACAAATTCCACTGGGATGAGAGACTGCATTTGAAGCCGAGACTATGCGTGAATTTACAATTAGACGGACAAATTCCACTGGGATGCAGGTATTATATTTTTTAACGCGAGACTATGCGTGAATTTACAATTAGACGGACAAATTCCACTGGGATGCAGGTATTATATTTTTTAACATAGTAAATATAATTGTAGTTATTATTTTGGTACTGAATTTTGAAACTAACACAGATAGAATGTCCAAAAATGTTTTGACGAGACCCCGGCTAGACAATTAGATTTCTACCAAAATGAGCTTGATCGCATGAAGATTTTTCAGGTATCATTTCTATAAAAATGAGTTTTTTCTTCTATATATTAACTTTCGTTTTAATGATATGCAACAATTATATGTAATACTCTGTAGATGGAATGGGAGCCCTACACCCCATTTCTCAATCATCTACCCCCGATATGCACAGAATACCCAGTTATATAGAGAGCCAGAGTTCCTCTAATATGTTTCAAGATAGTAGAAATACATGTACCGGACCGCATGCTTTGACAATTTGGTCTTACACAACATGTTCCACAATTTGTTGAAAAAATAGAGAGGAAGGCGAAGAAAGGAGGCCAACAAAAGGACTAGGCAGCGGAGCATCAAAATTATATACACAGATGGAATGATAGACATTTTTGTATTGTTGAGCAAATTGAGCCAACTCCCCAGGAATCAGATTACTACACTTGGTATTGGAGGATAACCAGAAGATGGATACTCCATGCGACCACATCCCCGATTGAGTTGCAAAGAGGATATGTGCCTCGGGTATAGATGAGAGAGAATTAGTAAGTATTTTCAAATTTATTTTAAGTTTATTTTTATTAGTATTTTTCAATATTGCTAAATTGTGTTTTTTAAAAAAATTGCAGGTATCAGCAATAGATGATATTCAAACCATTGCAAATCGTGGCTTGGAATTGGCTCGAGCAGGTAATGTAGAATTAAATATGAAATTTATATATTGTAATTTGAATTTTAAAGTAATTTTTGCATTTCGAATTTTTTTGAATTATCTCTCACAGGTACATATCCCGAAGCACAGAAACATGCATCAATATATTAGTCGATAATGCAGAGGCTTCACCAAGCCTTATATCGAACTCATGAAGACCTTCATGATGGACGAGAGGTAGCGCAATTAGTATACACACGTCAACCACGACAAAGACGAGGACAACGCAGAAACGACAATGAAGCTGGGCCTTCCCAACGTGTTGACGACGGAGCTGGACCGTCACAACCTCAAACGCAACCGGATCATGAACTCATCGAAGGTCGGGATAGAGGAGGCCGAAGACAAAGGAGGAGGAGAAGAGTTCTTGGATGTATGTAAGCTAATCGTTATTGTTATATAAATTACAATCCTATTTTGATATGTACATTACAAACGTATTTCGGGACAATATATGGTTTTTGGATTTGTAGCTGAGATTGTGGTGTGACTTATTAGATTTGTAAGTGGGTTTGTGGCGTGATTTGTTGAATTTGGATTCGCAAGTTTGTGGTGTATTTTATGATTTTTAGATTTGATATGTGTTTATACAGGAAATTGACATATGAGTTTGTACAGAGAATTGATATATGTGTTTATGCAATGGTGTAATTTATGATTGTTGCATTTGAAATATGAGTTTGTACAGGGAATTGCAACAACGCAGCAGAAATACATGCACATTTGTGCAGGAAATGCACGGGACTGCTAGTCCCGTGCATTTCATTGTGCCCAGGAAGTGCACGGGACTAGCAGTCACGTGCACTTGTTTTTTGTAGCGATGAAACTCTCTGCAAAGAACACGGGACTGCTAGTCCCGTGCATTTCATTGTGGCCAGGAAGTGCACGGGACTAGCAGTCCCGTGCACTTGTTTTTTGTAGCGGTGGAACTCTCTGCAAAAAACACGGGACTGTTAGTCACGTGCATTTCAAAGCTGTGTTAAAATACACGGGACTAGCAGTCCCGTGTATTTCGTAAAAATTATCCCGCAGCAAAACCGATCATTTTCTTCTGAAAAGGGTCGGTTTTGCTGAATAATGACATATGAGGTCAATTTTGCTATTTAAAATGCCAAAAAGATTGATTTTGAAAATTTGTCCATTAAATAATTCCCAAATACTTCCCCTATTATAAAGGAAGCTAATATTTTGTTTTATTTTATTGAAATATATTAACTTGTTGCTTGTAAATGATTAGAATTATTAATTTTAGGTAAAATAAAATGAAACAAATATTAATCTTATCCATCTATCTATGATGATAAAGATAGGAAGCATATAATAATTCTTAACATGTGCCTTTATAACTGGAGTTCACAATAGTAACTAAAAATAAGGGTCAAAACAACTAACCCACCCCCCACCCACGCACGCACGCACGCTGATAACCCCCTCTTATTTTCAAATGTCGCAAAACTTTAGTTTTTGGGATCATTAGAAAACTCCCTTCAACTTTCAACATATTCTGAGAACCTCTTAGAAGCATGAACCACAATTTTCACTAGCGAACATTCCTCTTGCATAATTTTACCCGCCCTATTGAAAACTGCAGTTAACACCAGGAGGATGATTTTTTAAAAAATTGCTGAAAGTTTAAGGGAGTTTTCTAAGAACAAAACATAGGGAGTGTTTTGTGAAATTTTGAAAGTTAAGGGTGTTCTGAGAAACACTCAACCTCAAGATCCGACCCGTTAACAAGCCGTTTCTTCCCTCCAAAATGACCGACCACTGACCCCATTAACACTCGTCGAATCGATCAAAACGAAGTCCGGTCCTCGATCTCTCCGTCCTCTCTCGGCATGGACTCATCAAAACCCTCACTCTCTCAAATCCCAAACCCTAACCTCACCTCTCAAAACCCCCAAAATCAATGGCCATCTCAATCTCCCCCCTCCTCTCCCCCAGTCTCCATCTCCCTCCTGCAACCCACCCTCGCTACTCAAACCCTAGTGTTAGGGTTAGGACTCACTCCCCATTTCGATCCTCGCTTCAATCGCATCAGGATTCGATCGGATTCGATGCGGTTACGGAGCTGGAGCTGCAAAGGAAGGGTTTCATGGGGCTGAGGAAGACGAAGCTGGTCTGTACTGTGGGCCCCGCTTGCTGCTCCGGAGAGGAGCTCGAGAGGCTGGCCATGGCGGGAATGAATGTGGTGAGGTTGAACATGTGTCATAACACGAGGGAGTGGCATCGGGAGGTGATTAGGGCTGTTAAGAGGTTGAATCGGGAGAGGAGGTTTTGTGTTTCGGTGATGGTTGATACTGAGGGGAGCCAGATGCATGTGATCGATCACGGGAGTGATTTAACTGTCAAAGCCGAGGTAATTTGTCATTGTCCCCTTGTTTTTGAGGTTATTGATTTGGTAGATGTGGCTGATTTAATGAGCAAGTAGTGAATTTTGATAGCTTGTTACGTACAGATTTTTGTTAAATTTAAATATTTCGTTCTTGGTTGTGGGAGACATTTTCTAATTAGACTGCTTATTGAATATATGTTTAAACTTTAAAGATGAATGATCTTGTGGTTAAATGTGCTAAAGAAAGCAAAAGCAAAATGCGGAGGTAAAGAACTTCTGGCAGTGTAAAAAGAAAAGAAAGTTTGGAAATTGGGAAAACCAATATTGAAACAATGAAGAGAGACTGGAACTATGCAACACTAAGCTGGAACAATGATTTTTCTCATTTGCATTGAGAATAAGCTTGTATAAGTGTGATACCATATGAAGAAAACAAGATAAAGAACTTAATTACCAAAGATTGATTTCTAAGATTACCTTTACTAACCATAGGAACTCTTCTACAGAATGGAAAAAATAATCATGTAGTTGACCCTGAAATTCTTCAAATAACAAAATAATGGAAACCCCTTTCTAAAAACTACGTCGTGAAGTGTCAACCTTATCACATTTAAACACATGAGCTGAATTTTGTCATGTTGAACTTTAATAATTGTGGGTTATATCCTTTTAAGCATTTGTTGAGATTCTTCCAGTTGAGAGTATGGAGGGGGAAAACATATCTGATAAAGCAATTTTTACATGTGCTATACCTGGATCATGATTTTCATTCTATTCCCTTTATCATTGGTCCATGCAGGAGGGCTCGATGTGGTTATTTACTACTGAAAAGTTCAAAGGTTCTCGCCCGTTGACAGTCCAAGTGAATTTTGAAGGATTTTCAGAAGGTATTAAATAAATTACATTTCACGGTTTTGTCAGAGCATTAATTTATTTGCTTTCACCATTTTATTTCTTTCACCTAAATTCTTGTTTGGTAGGTACCATTGTGGGTGATGAACTCGTAATAGATGGTGGGATGGCAACATTTCAAGTTGTAGAGAAGGTCGGACCTAATTTGCGATGCAAGTGCACAGACCCTGGTTTACTTCTGCCTCGAGCTAAACTGTCATTCTGGAGGAATGGAGAACTTGTTGGGGAGGAATCTGGTCTTCCAACCTTGTCGAGTAAGGTAAGAACTTCCTGCAAGGACTGAAGGACATGCAACCTATAGTTCTGACTTCTGAATACACTCCATAGATTCTTTTCTTTACATTTCAATCTAGTATATGATCTTTGTTTTTGAAACTTGCAAACACTTAGAAAATATATCTTCAATGTGATCTTATAAGACTTTTCTTCATCTTCCTAATGTTGATAACAACCTCATGCGAGCTCGGATATAGTTTTCTTCGCCTATACTAGGTTTGCAATATATGGGTGTAGATTTTAATATTGCTACTAGACTCCATGTCTGTCAGAACTAAATGGTGTGAAAATTACTATGGGGTAATAGTAAGCATTGTGATCATAGATGAGGTGGCCCCAGTCAATCTTTATTCTTTAAGTGTTGCATTCAAGTTAGTGTCAATAAAATAGAGCAACTACCACTGGTTCTAGCCACCTCTTTTCCCCTTCCTGCAGCATCGCCTCCCCCTTCTCTCTTCTTTTCCTCTTCTTGCAGCACTGCCTTCCCCCATTCCTGCAGCCTACCAACACTGACCAGCAATCACAATAGAACCCCTGATTCCTGCAGCCAAACTAGGACGCCACCCCTCCACAGCCGCAAGTCCCCAACAGAGCTGCCCTGCCTATCATACCCTGGCAGACCCCAGAACAGTAGCCCTCGTCCAAATTGAACCAAAACAGTCCCAAACCCCATCTTTTCTCATCGAACTGCCATAAAAACTTCTCCAATTCCTAGATCCAGTAGATTTACATCCAAATCCAACCCAAAGGTACGATCTTCACATCGAAAGCTGAGGGTTTTCCCCTCTCATAGTGAAATTCCAGCAAGTACTGCAAACAAATTCTTCGATCTAGTGCTCCTACTGACTGGAATCGGCAATAACTCTCGTCAGATATAAGAATAATTCCTCTTGATCGGAATGCTAATTCTTATAGTACTTATGCTATATTCAGTTTCATTACAGTTCAGTTCTTACTATCCCTCTTGATCGCATTTTATTAATAGTTGTCACTATACCTAGATATTTAAATATTTGCATTTTCCATCTGCTTGCTTGCTTAGTTGCATTTAGTTGCTTTATATTCTATAGACCTTTCTAGCGTACTGTGTCAATTTGTATTTTGGATTTATGACAATGTCAGATATCATAAGATTCAACAACTTCTGAATTTTTTTATAATTTTTTGTTTGGTTTGAAGGAAAATGTAACAGAGTCCCTACATGTGTAAAGGATGTATACTCAATACATATGCGATGCACATACTACTAAAAGATGACTAAACCATTTAGCGTGATTCTATGCAAACCGTGTTAAACGTGACTAAACTAAATCAATAAATAACGGGACTTCTCATCATGCCTCAACTAAACCAACTAAAGAAACTTAACTTCCTTCTTGCAGTTCAATTTGACTTATTAGTCATCAGAAACAAACTTTATAGTGCTTTCTTTTGGAAGAGAAACACACTTCAGATAGTGCACTTTGTCAAATAGTTTTTAGCTATTTTCTCCACCAATATCTCCTCTTTCATCTATTAAATATTTATTTCAGCTGTTTCTGGACTTGACATTTCATTCTCAGAGTTCATTTAGTTTCCAGTGCATTCATTAGATGTATCTACATGTTACATGTAGGACTGGGCCGATATTGAATTTGGAATATCTGAGGGAGTTGATTTTATTGCTGTCTCATTTATAAAAGATGCTAATGACATCAAACATTTGAAGGCTTATCTTTCCAGAAGATCAACAGAGTAAGCAAATTGTCAACTGGCATTTTTTGATTCATTATTTGAGCAAATAGTTTCATGATGTTTCCCATTTGAAGATAACATAATTTACAGTATTATGGCCTGAGATGTGGCTGATCTGTTTTCATTCTTTTTTTTTTAGTTTATTTTATCCAGCTTGACCTTTAAACATTCTGCACTATCAAGTTATTATTCTATGGCTTGTTATCTTTACTTCGGCTTATGTGTTTTCTAGGTTTGTTTTTCGATCTTGTGTTAATGATGCAGGACCATTGAAGATCAGATTCTTACTATGATTTGATTTGTCTTTTAGCTGAGATCTTAGTTAGGATTGAGTATGTTCTCTAGTTAGGATTGAGTATGTTCTCTAGTTAGGATTGAATTAGTTATTTGATGTTATCTATTAGTTAGGATTAGATTTTGTTTTATTCTCATAGAAGAGGTTATATTTCTTCATTTAGAGGTGGAAATAGAAAAGAATGTTTGTTAGAAACACTGCATATGAGTTACAACTAGTATTAGGCATGTGAGTTACCGGCCTATGAAGTGTCCAGGTGTGAAGCCCATCATTTGCATCTTGTTTTTCTTAAATAAAGAGTGCAATTTCGGGTTATTTGGGTTTTTTTTTTAATTTATTTTCCCAAATAATATACTCTCTAAATGTTGCAACCTTGACTTCCTGTGCTCGTTTACAGTTTACAAACTAGTTATATTTGTCTTTGGATAGAACCTGTCAATATTGAGTCAGATGATTATGAGCAACTACAGGTCATGAAAAGCTATAGAACTTTATTTTCCTGAGACTATTATGAAGAATAGATATATTACCTTTTTTATGTTCTTTAGGTGCTTTATCCTAGAAAGGATGTGTTTCTTTCATGGAAAGGACATCACGTATAAGCTGAAGCCTCCTCTAAAAGTTCTATTCTAAATTAAAGTTGTAAAGATAATGATCTTTGGTATAGGCTCTTACTAGGAGTTGGTTGTTTCTTCATTTAAACTAGATAGAAAAATATATTCTGGTGCTGGGATTGACTTCCTGTTGCCTTTTACTCTTACAGGTAAGGGCATCTTGAGTATGAAATTAGAATTGATAGTTCATTCCAGCACATTACTCATGTTAAAACATGCATCTTTTACATTTCCATGTCACTTGCATCTTTTGCACACAGAGAACATATCACACCCATACTATACCACCCTGCTATCAATTTGAAGCTAGCCGGTATGGGTGCGGGTGCGGGTGCGGGTGCGGGTGCGGGTGCGACACATGGCAAATTTATACAATGTAAGGTATGGGACACATCTAAAACTCATGGGATATAGTCATAATTCTGAGCTATATATGTAAACAACACTTTTAAATAGTAGTTATTAATGTTGAAACGAACTCGACCCTTATCCAATAAGTTACAAAAATGAATGTGAAATGTAGGTATATACCCAAGAAGTGTATGATGAATGTTTTAAATTAAAGATTCACTGTATAAGTGTGTATTGGTCTGATTAAATATATGCATATATTTAAGGAGTGTCTAAGAAGTGTCGGGTATGGTTACAGTATGACACGTGTCAGGTACGGGTACGGCTCCATATTAGAAATACCCAGATAACATAACTTTGAAAGTTCTGGACTATTGTGCTATATAAATTCAGAGAAGGAGAAAAAGAAGCTTGATTGTTACAGCCAAAAAAAAGTAGATATTTAAAATGGGGTTTTTTTCTTTAAGCCCAATTGTTTACCCCAATTTATCTTTAAACCCAACCTTTTTTTAATATCATCGAACCCAATCATCTTTAGGTATTTGTCTCGATTGTTACAGCAAAAAAAGCAGATATTTAAAATGAGGTTTTTGTCTTGAGGCCCAATTGTTTACCCAAATTTATCTTTAAACCCAACCTTTTTTAATATCATTGAACCCAATCATCTTTAGGTATTTGTCTCCAAACCCAAGTTTTCAAATACAACACATAAGCAAATGCCCCTCTCCCCCTAAAATTTTACAAAAAAATCCCAATTTACC